ATGGCATGTTTAGTGTTTAAGTCTGCTCGTGAATCAAATTTCATATGTCATGACCATTTGCTTACCCTAATTGTTTCCGACCGCGATGACTGTATCGCGGCTGCCTCTCGGTGGGCTCAACTATTGGCTAATAGGTGGCGAATCTACCAAGTTGGGTATTTGCTACAGCTGAAAGCACTGGCACTCGACTTTTGTCTGAAATATCTTATAACGACGTGTAAACCTGTAACTTACAGGCTGTAATTTTCCAGAGAGGATCCTTCTCAAAAGTGCACGATGAGATGTTTCGAACGACCGGGTCTAAGCGTTGGTAAGGAGTGGCACTCACTTAGCGGCACTCAGCATTACTGGGTTAGTAAGTTCTCTCCACATGAGACGCAACAACATTCACAGTGTATGAAAGCATAGAGTTTTGCCCTTGTCGAATGCCATGAGAAGCCACCCCAAAATGGTTGAAAGGCGATGAGTGCCCAGCAATAGTTTCACTTCTCAGTGCTTCTTCGAACTGCAGAAGAGGGCGTACGAGTGTGCTTGTGAAATAATTAGAAAATCGCGCAGAGCAACGCGCAGGCCTGCGTACCGATGACCCATCGGCGATGAGTAGTAGGAAAGCGAGCACCTGTGTACTGCATAAACGTGATATTTGAGAATGATGAGAAGAGGTGAGAAAATATATGAATGTTGTAGTGGACGCAGAGTGGGTACTGCACCAGCATCGAGTCAGGGAGACGATATGCACCAACTCCACCACGTCGGCAAGACACATATTCATAATGCTGAGTAGCTCTACAGCCTGGGTATGTCCTTGAGATTGCCCTGGATGACATACTTGGTGTAATCGTCAAGCTGTGGAGAAGTATCACGGAATTGGTACACAACCAGGAAGTCCCAACCACCATCTTTCTTGCTTATCCGGATCTGCTGTCCGGTGGAGAATGAAGGATTATGTACATTAGAGGAGGCTCTCTGATTTGAGATCAAGTGTAACATTTGGCAATCCGCTGAACCTTCTAGAGCATGCCACGAGTTCCAAATGTTCACCTTATACTTAGGGAAATAACCATAGTCGATGGTCGCGATATGGATACGCGACCCAGGGCCGTAGGCATCCTCACCCGGAGCAGGGTTCCACCAGAAGTCCCTGGTTTCATCACCGACGCTCAAGTGTGCCCACCCATAAGTT